TACTATATATCTTTTATATTTATATCAATATAATTCCTTTCGAATTGTATATACCAAAATAATAATATCAATACATTTTTCATTTATATAAAGATTATCCTTTTTCTACTTTAATTTTTTATAATCGTTCTTATAATTCGATAAATCTTTTTAGTAATCATTTTGTCACGGGGTGACACTAAGCCCTTTCTGTCCTGTCCTGTCCTGCTATATATGTGAGAGTAAGATAGAACTTCCAGTTCTACCTCCTAGTCTTTTGGGCGTTTAGCTCAGCGGTAAAGCTTCTGATACTCCCAGAGGTGATCCCGTGACAATTTTAGGCTTTTAATAAACCTTCCCTTTTCGAGTTCTCTAAATCGAATTGAACTTAAATATACTTCTTATAGTGAATTATAATATATCCAAATTTGAAACAATCTAATCCTAGGATTTTCTATTAATTCAAGCTTGAATGACTTTAAAGCATCAAGGAGTATACCAATTTTGATAAAATTTATAATTATCATTTTCGTAATTATACTCAATATTTACTTTGAATTTGAATAGAAAATAATAAAAATTGAAATAGTAATCGAATTTTTAATATAAGATATAAAAATTAGATGGCTAGGCTAATCTCGCTAAAGTGTGCAATAAGCCGGGGCCTCAACTCTTACGAATAAAAAAGTTGTCGCCAATTCAGACATTCCCTGTGGGGGTGGCCATTTGGATGCCGAGCCGCTTCACACATTTTCGGCTTTAACGGCACTCAGTGGCGTTTAGTAATCTTCTCGTGTATTCACGAACAACCTAATTCTGTTGTCCGCGCCGCAGGTTGTGCACATATTCACCCTCCGCTACAACCTCGATGCTGACAAGCAGTTATCTGCGCCGCAGGTTGTGCATATATTCACCCTCCGCTACAACCTCGATGCTGACAAGGAGTTGCCTGCTGTCTAGATGTAGAGTGTTTATCATTGTTTCCACGGACGTTGGCTTAAGGCCTGGCGTATATGATAGGTGGATCTTGGTAGAAAGACATGTCGAATCAGGGATCACTCGATATTAAAGTTACACGCTGACCGGGCATCTTCTGATATTATGCTCTTTTGATGACTCGATGTACTTATGCACGTTGTTAAAGATTCTTCGGGTGCTACTTCCGGTATGAACGACTCAACTTCCCCTGTATCAACATCCGATTTTGTAAGCGCACGTGTCACATACCTACTCAAACCACATGTTGGCTATCATCTCGCCTCGGGTAAATTTATAATCCTTGTCATGCTGTTGTAAGGCACAGACCGTGTAAAGGTGAATGGAAATGATACGTTGTGATAGGCTGGCCTAAATATGTGCGCCGCTAGCATGCAGGAATTGCACAGTATTCGCGATTTTAGCTACAAAATGGTGCAAGAGCCCTCTTCTTTCCCGTGACCTTCATTACTACTCTACTCAATTCAGATTAACCTATAAATTCTTAACCCCCAGAGAGCTTCAGGATCTCTAAAATTCAGGCAACGAATAGAATTCATCAATCACTTAAGCAAAATGTCAGCAGATATTCAAGTCGTTGCCATCTTCCACCCAGCTTCGGGCAAGGAAAGCCGAGTCAGTACTCCATTTTCTCTTGCTACTTGCGCACACCTTAGTTCTAATGTTTTTTCATGCTAACATTATTCCGGCCAATAGCTCAAAGAAGTCCTCCTCGACCTCGCAAGTAAAGTCCACGAAAATGAGCAAGGTGTCGTAAGTTTCCCGTTTTTCTGTCTTTACTGTACATGTGTTACTCATTTGCTACCCAACTCGAGTGGAGCTGATACTTCTAGAAAAAATACCAAGCATTCGAACAAATTGACTCTCAAACCGGAACTAATGTCATTCTTTTCCAAGAAACTTGTAATTATACCTTTCTGTTAACTCACATCCATCTTGAATCCGCTGAAATTCTTTACCCTGATCATATTCTACCCCCCCCCCCCCCCCCCCGCGTCTCTTTGATTTCGCGTAGCCTTGGATCAATTCTTTTACTGTCTCTTCTAACAAGGTTACCTAGATGCGGACCAGGCCGCAGTTAATACCCACTTAACCTCTTCATACTTCGGTGCTGCAGGTGAAACCCTCAACAAGGAAGGATTGGTTACCAAACCTTTCGAGGTCATAGTGTTGAACCCAATAGGTGGATTTGCTTCGCGCGTTTAGAATCGAGCATGATATAGCTGCATTTTTGTTCCTGACTTGGCCGATTCATGGGGATAGAATAGCAAGTCGGAGAGCAGCGTCGTAATTCCCAGATCCATTGTAGATGGTGTAGTACAATAACATGATATTACGTTCCATGGTTTCAGACTTCATTATATAGTCAGCTGCTTTACTACTGTGTTTGAAGCCCCTCTCATTGTGAAAGAAATCAATCTGTCTAATCAGCCAGATCAACATGACCAAGTCAAATATAGCCATTCATAACAACGGCCCCCATGATATACCATCTCCAAACTAGCAACTGAGATTAGCTATTTTCGCCAACTCATAGCAAAGGGGCATTTTCAAGTTTTTTCACTGGGATACTCAAATAACAGAACATGCAATGTGACTTTATTTCTCGCTCTCTCTTAGCGTCAGCCTTCAAAGCTGTGTTGGAGCCCATGTTTGGGGTTTGCTCCCTTTTTCATATATCTGCAAGTGTATAGGCGCAAGTATTAGAACGCCGGATGATCTCGCCATACCTCTTTAAGTTTATGGGTCAGTAAATTCGACAATGATTTCAATGACAGGATGTGGATATATTTGGATTTAGTTTTCTACTCAGAATGGAAGGTAGAGTTGTGAGCCTTCGGCAGAATTTCTGTATTACTGCATGATGTGAGGATGACACGACGTATAATCCTAGTAAGAGGCGACTAGCAACGAAGGAAATTCCTAGGGTGGTTTCGTAATCCAGGCATCGTAGTCCTTGGACTTTTGCTCCTAACCAAGTACCCTGCGTTTAGGAGAGTAGCCAGGTGTATCAGAAGGCTCTAGGCCAGTCGCGGTGATTTGGACAGGGGATCTCGTCTCAGATATCGAAATCTAAAATTGAGTTTCTGATAAAGGGCATGAAGGTTACATGGCGCGATTTTCATATTATACCTGGTGACCTCGATCCGACCGAAGAGGGAATATGATAGAATTCTACTTGTTACTTTCTGCTAGATCCGCGTATCAATTACACTTGTCTGTGACCTCTAAATCCTTACCAATTTTAAAGCAACAGCTTCAAACTCCAAAGAAAATGCAAAAAGATCGAAATAACATCGCCGAACTCGTTCGATCAGCCTATGAATTCAATGTTGAGGATTCTCTTGACTTGTCTTGCTTGGATGGAAAAACCATTCTCATCACTGGAGGAGCTTCTGGATTTGGCGAAGGTTTCTTTAGGAAGTGGGCAGAGCATAGTATGCCAAGTTTGCCAAAACCCCCCCCCCCCAATAAACAATACTGTGCCTTTTCTAACGTTTTACAGACGCGAACGTGATAATTGGAGATGTGAACGCAATCAAAGGGAAAGCTTTGGTTGAAGAAGTCCGGGCACAGACCAACAACCAGAATCTACATTTTCTATACTGTGACGTCACCAAATGGCAATCGCAAGTTGACTTTTTTCGAGACGCGGCAAAATTAAGTCCTCACGCAGGAATTGACGCCGTGGTTGCCAATGCGGGAATTGCCTCAGACAATCCTGTTTTCGACAACCCAGCTCATGATTTGGGGGTGCTCAGCGAGCCGCTTTCGATCGATCTCAAAGTTGTCGAGGTCAACTTAATAGGGGCAATGTACACTGCGCATCTTGCGTTCCACTATCTTCCTCTAAACCCATGCCCACCGCATACTTCACCCGGTCAAGATGCCCCCAAGCGAGACCGTCATCTTTTATTGATAGGCTCCGTGGCAGGCATAGCTGCCTTTCCAGGACAAGTTGAATATTGTGTTGCGAAACATGGAGTCACAGGACTCTATCGCTCATTGATGTGTACAGCCTTTACAAAAGAAATTCGCATCAACCTAATCATGCCTTACTTTTCCGATACACCAATGCTGTCTACGGCGTTACGAGCAATTCTTGCTGGTACGCCTGTAGGCAAGGTTGATAGCATTGTGGATGCTGGTACAAGACTCATGGGAAGCGGCGTGAGTGGAAAAGCTTTAGTTGTTGGGCCAGACGTGAAAGTGGACAAAAGTTGGACTGTACTTTCGGACCCGTCGAAAGATGGAAAGTCTGTTGCAATCCGAGAGGTATATGGCCAAGATTTCGATGCTGTTGGTACGTGTTCCCTAATCTTCTATATGAAGCTTTTTCCTCACAACTAAAAATGAAAATAGATGCTTTTACTCTGCGCTATGTAAAGCTTATGTATCAAATAACGATATTAAATGGGTGGAGAATGTGGGTCTGCGACATGGTGGCTGCTCTTTTGCATCCTTTTCAAGCATTTTGGAAACGTAACTAAGTTGAAAAAGAGCGAAAAATGAAGAAGTGGTTCACAATGGTGGGAAATATACAAAGTAGTAGTGTCATAAGCCTTTTCAATATCCTACTGGTTCAATTATGACATGGTCCCAGTGACAGTCTTACAAACACTAACTATGATTCATCACCCAATATGACAAGAAACAGTACCAAAAATGCGATTGCAATATTTACAACAATGACTTGAGTACCGTTGTATATTTCAATTCACTTGCCACCACAACTCAAGATGTAATCGAAAAACCCCAGGCTGTAATCTGCTCACACTACATTTCCAATTCCCGCCAGACAAGATCACCGTGCAAACCAGGATCGGCATTTAATCTTGTTTGGTTTTTGAGCTCTTCATTTCAAGGTATTCGCCTATGAATCCGTTGAAGTCCTCAGGCTGGTATGGCGAAAATATTTCGCTGAAGAAATTCGATTTCCGGCGTGAATTCAACCCCATATCACGGAAAAGGGAATCCAGATACTAAAAATTGTTAAAATTGTCAAAGCAAAGAAACGAAAAAGCTTATTGCAACTCACTGGGAGAAAAATCAAAAAGCGAGTACGGAGTCTTCTGGCCCTGATTCAAATATCTTTTTCGCGACCATGCATTCCACTCTGAAATCTCTTTGACCATCATCTCTTCACTTGGCAACTTGATCTCTCCGAGTAGGTAAAGGATTCCCCAAAATGACTGGATGTCTGCCACCAGTGGGGTTTGCACAGTGTGAATTTGACCTAAGATTATGATGGACCGATCATCATTTTCAGTGCAATTTAGCGGTACCACACGCCGGTAAAGCCTCCCTGGAACTGTTTGATTGGCAAACGAATCTACCACCTTGGGTGGATTTGCCAAAAAAGGAAGCTGGCGATTTATAGAGATGTCAGCTTCGGCATCATACTTTTCCCATTGCAAGCCTGCAGAATCTTGAGTATTGGTCAACCCATCCCTATCAAGAGAGTAGGGCAGACCAAGTGCGAGCTTCGTCGTCTGATCAAACATTTTGAAATGGTCGCCCCAGCCAGTGCACATGACAATGTAGTCAGCCTCTACTTTTGTGCCAGACTCGAGTAGAATAGTGTCTTCTTCGATCGCCTTGACTTTGTCTATCAGTACAGAAACATCTCCATCGTGAATTTTCGCCCAAAAATCAGGTAAAGTGACAAGCCCAACTCCAGAATCCCCCCAGAAGACACTAGAATAGTCAGTTAGGTTGAAGTTGAATTTTCGCAATGGAACCAAGAAATCTACCTTTTATCTTCGATATACGGCTTCAGCATAGAAACATGATTACCTTTAGAATAACCAGCGTGGCGAATACTCAGGTAGTTGAGTACCTCCCAGAACTTGTTGGTGCACCAGAGCCCTAAATTCGTTCTTTGAAACATCCTTTGCAGCGGGTCATCAACATTTAGTATAGAGGGGCTGACGTAGCTCATGAACCTGGTGGAGGAAACAGCTAAGCTTCTCCAGTACCCAAATAATGTTTGAGGTATCAATGGATGAGGTCCTGTACCGTCCGCACGAATAATCCAGATCACTTTCTTCCCCAGAGACAGAAGTAAGTAAACTGTATCATACGCTGATTTTGCGCCTCCAACTACGACTACAGTTCTGACATCAGGACTTTCCAATGACTTAGATGAAGACCCTAAGTCTTTGGAATGGATAATAGGGATAGAGACACTCTGTGCCCGAAATCTGGGCATCTTGGGCATGGAAGTGATTCCTGTGGCAACAATGAGCTTGGTAGTTTCCAGACATTCGACTTTCTCCATCGTCTGGCAGTGAAGTTTCCACCCTGTGGAACAGCGCTCTGCTCTAGCAACAAGGGAAGAGAAGCATATTCGATGCAATAAATCATGTTGCTCTGCATAAGTCTGGAGATATTCATGAATAGTCTCGCCAGCGATGAGACCATTTGTGGAAATTCCAGTTTGAGGAGGCATTGGAGTGTCCGTATAATTGAAAAACCCCTCTGGTACCTGTGCGATAAGATTTGGATAGAGTCTTTCTTTGCACCATACCCCACCAACCGTCTTGTTAGAATCGACTATGAGAAGATTCGTTTGAGGACGAAGGCGAAGATAATTTCGTGCTGCCACCAGGCCGTAAAATCCTGCATGGTAAGTCAATTGTTTATCGACAGTCTGATTTGTTGAGGCCTTTGTGAGCGAATCATACCTGCACCGACTATCACCACATCGTACTTTGTTACCGCTGCTGCTTCTTCCATCTTCAGGTGCTACTCCGACGAATTGAACTTTGTTTAGGTATAGAGTTTGATAATCGCAACAGAGTATCGGCTTTTGGAGATAGTATCTTTGGTAATATCTTGTAATTCTAGAGCAGTTTAGAAATTCATCACTGGGCTTAAATATAGCTGCTCATACCTAACTATAGTTCAGATCGCGATTTAACATTGATTGCTGAAATAGGGTTAATAGGATACTCAGAAGAGCGAGATATAGAGGGTGGCATGAAATGCACTTCCCATCAAACCCCGGTACTAACGCTCTTGAATATCAAACTAGGATGTTGATTGTTATTCCATCATATCTGGCTTATAGTGCTAGGGCATAGCTGTTTGCCGAACACCAAAATCAGACCAAAATTCATATAAATTATCTATAGATTTTTTTTAATAATAATATAGATTTATTTAATGAATTTAATATAATTCTATTCATTTTCAATTGAGATTTAATAAAAATTAAATAATTTATTTTTAGGATTCTTATTTATTATAAAATCTATATAGAAACTTAATATAATTGAAAATTTTTAAATTTATTAGTAAAATAAGCGAAAATTAAGAACTTTTCTTTCGATTTAGATTTAATCTTATAAATATAATATCTCTATATTTTAAAATCAAAAGAATTTTAAATTCTAAGTATTTTATTATATCATAAAACTATTTTTAAAGTCCCGAATAATTTAATAGTTTTGAATATTTTATTTTTGTTTATATAAATAGAGCAAAATGATCATTTTTGATATAATTTTTGAAACCAACGAACAGCTGCGCACGATTACTGTAGCTCGTGGTATAGAGTTATTCTCATTGAACTATGATGGTTGCAGAGTCAGCCTGCAGTCGTCTGACGTGTTCCTAATTAACCTATACCCTGTGGCTCCATTCTTGTAGACATCCCAACATCGATTAGGCGCTGTGCAGCCCCAGACCATAATCACTACTCTGCCGAAATCCAAAGCAACAAAATATTACTACTTTAGGAAATTCCCCCCTCTCCCCCCAAAAGTGGAACCGTCTCATGGCGCCTTGTAATCGTATAGTTTGAGCCACCTATCATGTGAGCAGCTTCGGTAATAATCTACAGGAAAGCTTCGAGGGTGCTCACCTGGACCACCCACGAAACTTCAGTGAGCTCTCCTCTCATTATCAATTAGCTCGCACTATTCCTAGCGAATTTCTAGTACTATCAAACTCGCAATTCGTCACATCCTTCATTTTGTTTCCAGTCTTAACCACGATATCTTGGATTGTCGCCTGACAATGACCACCTATTTCCGCACACTAACCTTTTCAGCTGTCCTGCTGCTTTGGGGTATCAGCATATGGAATGGCACCATCAAAGCTCTCCTCCTAACGGTATGGCATCAACGATTTGAGGATGGAGTCATAATGCACACCCAGTACACCGGGATCATCATTCTAGATTTTCCCCTCTCTATTCTGGTTGCGTTCTTCTTCTCCAGCACAAACAATTCAGACAGAGAACAACAAATGTTCACGCTCGATGCATTCTCAACGTTTCAACCTGCATATGTTTGGCTATATGCAGAGAGTATACGGGGGACAAAACAGCCACACACTCTAGGGAAGTAGGTTGAGAATGAAGTCTCCGCAAACATTGAAAGCTGTTAACCGTTATGACTAGTCCAATCGTTTGGGGTATACTTTGGCAGATCTTTGGCGGTGCCGTATTACTTCCCATTTACTACTCTCGCCACCTTCAATGGGCGAGTGAGCAGCCCGATGTATTGGCTACATCAGATGTTTCTTCTTCAAGAGCTATACCAGTCAGCTTTATCATAGGCGTTGTACTACCCACAATTATGGCAATGCTGCCTACTTGGTCTCATACTTCGCTCGATCCAGTCGCTCGTGAGCAACACCGGTTTTTCATCACACGTACTCCAAGTTTTGAAATCAGTTCACATATCCTATCACTTCTAAGCATGCTAAAATGACTGATCACTGAAACCTTGGTTCTCATAGATCAAAAAATCTTGGCTGTATGGCAGCTAACTCCTCTGTGGATGTCCTTAACTCAAGCAGTCACTACTTGGGCTTTGAGTCAATGTGCAGATAGAATGCCCTCTATGTCTTTAAGGAAGAAAGTGATTGATAATAGGATAGCAGCTTGGTGGATTCAAGTATCTTACTTACTTGCAGCTGTGTTGTCCTTTTTAGGTCACTTGCACGCGCTCACGGCGGTGGTCTTATCCTCGGATCCAGTCAATGGTATTCGGAGAGCATACTTGCCATCTTTCTTCACCGCTCTCCTGGAATCGCCAAATATTCTTTCCAGTGGTTCATTGATGTTCCTTCAATTTGATGTCATGATTATTGCATTGTCTAGCATTTCATGGGCATACATCTTATTGTCGCGCTTGTTGGCACGTCGTTCGGGAAATTTGTGTGACAGTAAATTGGCCCAATTTTCGCCGCTCCTATTCACCCTTTTTCTTCTTGGTGTATCAATTCTTGGGCCGGGTACCACAGTGTGTCTTGCGTTATTTTGGAGGGAGGGAGAATTGCTGAGCTTGCGCTCGGCGGCCTCGATTTCATCCATTAAGGACAAGTCGATGAAAATGCGCTAAGGACCAAATTATAACGTTACCAAGACTGCATGTGCTGTCGAAAATACGAAGAAGTGGTGGCTATTGAACGGCTAATAGTCTTTGCTGTCAAAGCCTGTCTTATCCGAAAGCAAGTACATCATCAACCAAGAAACTAGGTAGTCGATCGATTATCTTCTGCATAGGTGTAAAAAACCATTCCGAGACCCCTTAACTTCTCAACCACTTGTTTCTATGAAACGGTTCATTTCCATGATTTTTTGACAGCTTTTCAACAACCATACTCGTGAGTTCCATTACATTTACAAACTGTAAGTTAACTTTTCAGGGACATTTTTTTAGGCTTTTCTTCCCCAATGACAATTGAGATTCAAAATTATGTCTTCTTTTCCTGAGAAAATATTTCAGAAACACTTATTTCATGAACTACATAATAAGTCCAAACCTTTTCAAGAAACATAACTTCATATTATGACAGAGCTTGAAACCTAGAGTGACACTAGATTTCAAGAATTTTGACAATTTGGAACTGGAATGGTTGTGTTTTCCCATGCGTTAACACGAGCATAAATATACAATGTCGAACATCGATGGTACCCAAGCTGATATGAAGGATCAAGGTTGGAATAACAGTGCCTAGAATCATCGGTTTCAGGACTCGGCATCGCTATCTTATGGTCCGGCGCGATCAACGAAGGCCGTCTTGACAGAGATAATATTGCACCACCGAGTCCTTATACCCTTGCAGTCTGTAAATGTGAAATTACAGTAGCACGAAAAACCATTTCCGTTTGCGTATTGCATTAGCAACTATCTTTCTCTGTACCAATGACGAAGCCGCTGATACAGGCGTGAAAAAAGATTGGCCATGCTGAAAGCAAATACAGCGACCCCGATAATGCTGAGATCAGAGCTTGGGATATAGTGGAGTGGGTATTTATGATGTCCCAGTACTGGATTTATATTATTGCTTATTTGACAATGTACCTGAACCACCTGCGGGGGCACATCTCCAAGAAACACATGAGCCTGGAAATTGGAAGAGGGAACGAAACAACTGTTTGTTCACACTATCGAAGGATGAATATAAATTCGCCTGTTGCCAATATATCCATCCGCTAGCTATGACTTATGTGCACACGACTCTAAGACTTTTGCTCTTGTCTATCTAAACCCTTTGAAAACGCCCCGAAATGCTGTCATTTTGAATTGTATTCCAAAAGGAATTATCCAATCCCATCAAATCCAATATACTAATAAGCTATCTATCTATAGACGATCCAACAAACCCGCGCTCTCCAACATCAAGATAATTGAGTGAACAGCATTTCTGACACTAGTCTTCTCGATATCAACAGTGAAGTCAGCCTTTGAAGGGACCTCATAAGGATCATCAACACCAGTGAAACCTTTGATTTCACCGTTGCGAGCTTTGGCGTAGACACCCTTCTTGTCGATCTTTTCAGAGTGCTCAAGACTGGTAGCAACGTGAACGAGATAGAAGTCACCATACTTCTCAATCATTTCACGAGCGTGCTGACGAGCATCTTCATATGGTGCAATTGGTGCAGCAATGACGGCAGCACCGGAACGAGTCAACTCGGAAGCAACGAATGCAATACGGCCGATGTTGCGGGTTCGGTCAGCACGGCTGAAGCCAAGCTCCGAGGAAAGCTCGGCGCGAACAGTCTCGCCCAATAAAAGTGAGACAGAACGTCCACCCTGTTGGTTGAGAGTAGTTTGCAAAGCACGTGCAATTGCGTCTTTACCAGAGCTGTGGTAACCAGTAAGGAATACAGTGAAACCTTGAGCAGAACGAGGTGGGTGAGATTCTCTAAGAACACGGACAACTTCTGGGTACGAGAACCATTCTGGAATCTCACGACCAGAGCGAAGTCTAGAACGGAGCTCAGTTCCGGAGATGTCGAGAGTACGGGTACCCTGTGGGACCTCGTCCTTTGGTCTATATTCGTCGCTATCTGGGAGGTAAGTCATCATTTGGAAAGGAACGACCTCAATTCCGAGCTCATCCTTGAACTTCTCAACAGCGTATTGAGCATCATATGGACCATAGAACTCCTCTCCCTTGCTGTTCTTTCCTGGTCCGGCGTGATCACGTCCGACGATGAAGTGTGTAGCACCATAGTTCTTTCTGATAATGGCGTGCCAAACAGCCTCACGAGGTCCACCCATACGCATAGCGAGAGGAAGAAGACCAAGAACGGCCATTCCGTTGGGGTATCTAGGAAGGAGTGCCTGGTAAACACGGACACGGGTGAAATGGTCAATGTCACCTGGCTTGGTCAGACCAACGACTGGGTGGATAAGAACGTTGGCTTGACGGGCTCTAGCGGCGCGAACAGTCAACTCTCTGTGGGCTCTGTGCATAGGGTTTCTGGTTTGGAATGCGACAACCTTGGACCAGCCGAGCTTGTCGAAGTGGAGTCTCATTTCTGCGGGGTATCTTTTCTCATATTAATAGCTTTCTAGAGTTTCTAGGAACCGAATCACTCACATCTTAAAGCAACGTAATCGTAATGTTCTAAACGGTTAATGGCGTCAATCTTTCCTCCAACATAGAATTCAGCTGCAGTGTTGTATAAATATTTAACTGCAGGGTGATCTGCATCACCACCGAAAACCTCCTTATCTTCCTTCTCCCTATCAATTTGTTAGATCTTTCTCATTCATCTAGGTCGGAATTACACACTTGTTGGGTCTGGTAAACATCCTCGACGTTGATAATTGCAAGGTTTCTGTCGTCACGGAAATCGCGAAGAGTAACTCTTGCTCCTGCTTTAATTCCCAACTCCTCGATTTGTTCTTGGGATACATCGAGTGTAATTGGCATACTGAAGACGTTGCCATCTGCCAATCGGTTGTTCTCAACGACACTGTAAAATGTTAGGCTAGTCAAAGTATTTCGAAAGCGCAGTCTCGTACCCATTGTAATCCTTCTCGGTCATAAAACCTGTTAATGAGAAATTAGCAATTGTTGTCGAATTATGGATAGATTTCTGTTATCATATCTTGGCAGATTATATTCAGAATGGCGGGGTCATGATGCCCCTCCATATAAGCGGAAATGACATACCTTCAAGGGGAGAGAAACCACCACTCAAAATCAATTCGAGATCGCAAAGTTGTCTCTCAGTGAGAACAACAGCGGGAAGGGTTTCGGCCTCTGTTGCAAGTTCATTGTGTCTTGACAAATCTCTTGCGAGAAGATCTCTGTTGCGATCGTTAGTTAATTCGCATCCTAACCCCCCCAAGACTTCCTCCAGTCTTATTAATTTCGCATTCTTACTTTGAGGACACCACCATGAGGAGAGTTTGCCATATCTGCGTTTGAAGATAGTAAAAAGTATGAGTTGATCCAAGCAATATGTGGGAAGAATTGAGGATATTAGAGAGTCTTCTGGGAATGTACTATGTATGTATGAAGAAGTTGAAGAGGAAGAGAGAGAGAGATGGATAGATGGAAAGCAAGAGTGCAAGTAAGTCGGGAAAGAGTGGGTATAAATAAGTTATAGAGAAAGAACAAGGACGATACTACTTTTATAATGTCCGTATCAAATTATGTGCCTCCCAAGAGAATTAATATTTTTTTTCTTTACTAAAAGCTTCAATATCCTCTCATCCGCCTTGTATGGAACCCGGTTTGGGAAGGCATGACCTAGAGGAAATGACGTGCTCGGCAGCTCTTCACTTACAAAGAACGCGTATGTTAATGATATGACACGTAAGGCTATCAAAGGTATTAAACCAAAATAGATCTTTTATATGGGGAAGATGTTTGATAGCTCGAGATAGCCGTTGAATGATGTGGGAACGAAATGGGATATGGGGGTGAGATTATAAATGTGGATTAGTACACCTGTATATGTAACGAAGGGGGGAAATCATTTGTCACAATGACCAAAGAAAGTTTTTACGGAGATGGAGATGGAAATGGAGATATCGATGGAGATGGAGATGCTAACGATAATATAATACATAATACTTAGATATATCTAATTGTCAATTGAAGGGCTGGAAGGGTGGAAGGGTTTAGTCTTGGTATGTTCTACCAGCTATCTGATGGACATTTCACTGTTTATCCATCTTCTAGACAGAAATAGATATGATAGGTAAACGCTCATTCAAGATTGCTTTGCTTGTATGTAATAAATTGAATGTCTACCTTACAGTTCAAAGCAATGCTTGTTTGAACTCCATATCATTTTCCATTTTGATTGAATAAACGTTCCCCTCCCCCTTTCCGCGCGGCACCTGAACCATAGATCGCTACTTTTCTTAATAGGGGGGGTTAGATGATGTAGGCCTCGTCGTCAATTATTCTATCAAGACCAGATGTTTCAATTTCATGTGGATCTTTTCTCTATGATAATGATATGCAATCGTCCGATATGAAATAACCAAGGTGTATATGATCGTTTTATAAGGATCTTCCGGAATCTTTTTATGTGTAACCAAAAGTATATATACGCATGCCACTTCAGATATTGCGATCCAGATACAGATAGTTTATGAAACTATCTGCATACTATCCATATGAAGCAAAAGGCAAGCTACTTTTTCAACGTTCGCTTCGGGAAGAATATCAAGTATGTTCCTGCAGAAGAACATTCGAAAGGAAGAAAGGAAAGGAAATGGATAAGAAAGGATTAACCTCACGTGAATGACGATAGAATGCCAATGCCCTCATTGAAATGTTATCTTATCGTTATCTCCGTACATACGTCCACGGAAATTCGGGCTCGGTATTTGCCGTTCTTTATTTTGATGCTTAGGGAAGTTTGAAGAAGTGACAAACTTTGAATTTGGAAACCTCAAGCCTTTTTCTGCCAAACAATTTACTACAACAAGATGTCTGTAGTAGCAGGTTTGAAAGGCGAAGCTTCGCAACAAGCTCGATCGCTGGTAAGTAATCATAAATATTATCCCGCAAATGGTTGCCACTTCGATGTCACAAAAGTTGTGATGCCAAGCCATGAGAGGGAATGTCCGATTGATATATCCATACTTACTTCTAACTTATAGTATCGTCAATTATTGAGACAAGGCGGTCAGTTTGCAGCATACAATTTCCGAGAATATGCGAAACGTAGGACAAGGGACTCATTCAGAGAGCACAAGGACGTTCAAGATGAGAGGAAGGTCCAGGAATTGATGCAGAAAGGATTGAAGGAATTACAAAGCTGAAGGTACGCCCAAACGTGTAGCGGCAGAGAACTTCATATGATACTGGAAGGGTTCTCTCGGCATTGGGATCCGAAATGCATGGCGACTTTTCGAGGAGCATGCAGATACAAAGTTGAGTGGGAATTGAAGGTATACTGACAATCTCCGCAACAGAGACAAACTGTTGTTAGTCAGTTCTTCCAACTGGATCGATTAGTAGTTGAAGGTGGGAAATCGGTACGTACTCATCAGACACCATGCATAGAAGATATGTTGCTAATTCCGATTGTAGGGAAAGCAATCCGGGGAGAGAAATGACATAATGAGACAAAAGACACAGGGTAAGATGTCCTTCTAGTGCGAGGTCTAACGTACAACTCACATTACATAGATTGGACTGATGTTTCCGGGTGGTTGTGGATTGTGGACTTAAGGAAATGCTATGAAGTCAAGACGTTTGGGCCTGGTTATATGTATCACTATACATGGAGTTCAATTGCACTTTGGTGTCTGTCCGGCGAGACATTCTTACACCAAGTGATTCAGGAAACTCGCCCCTCAGCCAACAAGGTGGCATGAAAAGGTGCTTAAGCCGGTACATAACTTATACAATTGTTCCATAAATGCACACTGGTGTCCTGGACGCTTCAGGATTATGGGAGACAGTTTGAAGCAGAAAGGGTACCTCTCTTGGTATATGAACGTCAACTTCCCGGCTTACTGAAATGGCCGTCAAGAGTACGTTGCATAGCAAGACCCCTTGCGCCTAACTTTCAATTTGAGCTTGAGTGGAAATATTAAACAGTATCATCAACTATAGATAAATCAAGTTGTGTGCCTTCCAATGATTCTTTGATTCTTTTTCTTACCTGGCAAGAGATGTTCAAAATTACCTATGAAGTAGTGCTGTGATTTACAATCACGTGATGACATAATTGTCTCTCGATTTGCTTTGGGCGTCACTTCTCTCATTTAATCCCTCCGCGCTTTGTACTTATCCATTAATATACTAGGTATTTAATGATCGCAAGTAGGTATTTAATCTTGGTGAAGCAATTCAACTTCCAATAAATTCATCATCGTGATTGCGCGCTCAATTGCTAATGTGCATTTTACCAGAAAGTCCGCGTGTAGCTCAGTGTACCTATATCGAACGCGCAGCCCCAGCGTCGCAAAACCCGTTCCAACAGCCTCTCTGAATGCGATCACAACGGCACAAAGTCGTATACGATTAAAGCGAACTAGAGTACAGGATAATCAAAACAAACCTCTAAAGATCAATGCGTATGAAATAACTCAAGCCTTACCACAACTGAAGCATCATTATCTGCTTTAAATACCTGGGATTCCAACTCATCGATATCGTCGGTCGAGCTTGGCACCTCGTTCTCTCCTCCGAATAATTTTTCTACACAACGCGCCGATATGCCCGCTGTAAGTTTTTACAAATTGGATTCTCATACCTAATTGGCAGGTCGTCATACTCTCGTCTCTTGTGACACTCTCTGTCAATTCGCACACGTTCCTGGGGATGCTTGGTTAAAAGCTAGAAGCTAACAATTCGTTCGCAGTACCGAACAGGTGGAAGACGGCAGAATCGCACGGGCTATGTCGACCATGATATACTCGAGGGGATTCCCGTAAGACAATGGCGCCGCGAATTCGTTACAGTTGCACCCCCACCTCCGCAGGAAAGCAGTGCCTCTCAGAATGATATTTGGGCAAAAGAGTTGCCTTGGGGAATGCCAAAAGACTCCCACTTATTACCGCAACATAGTCAAGATTTGCTACGCGCCGCACGATCTGGAAAGATATATAAGCGACCTACTCCTATGGATGAAGAAGAACAAGATCTTGAAGCCATTCTGGGAGACAAGCCGGACAAAAAAGAGGAGGAGACTAGAGATAGCGGTTTTACAGCCCGTGCCTGGAAGCAGATTCCTGGTCACCAAAATGCGTCGGATATGGACTTTCTGGCCAAAAGAAGGAAGGGATTAGGTTCTACAATTCCTAAACCAGCTCCAGTTCCCACAGTTGTACAAACCACAGTTCGCAGGACAGATGCTGCAGGCAATGAGTACCTAGAGAAAGTCATCGTGCCCCATGGTCAAACTGTTGTAGGGGATGTTGTTTCTCAAACAACCATTCCTGATCCGAATGCGATCGAGGGTACGCCGTTCCGACGCAAGGGTCCAGTTGGTAAGAAAGGGAAACGAGGCCCCGGAAGGGGACGAAAGAAGATATTGCCCACTTCTACCCCCAACGTAACTAGCGAACCATTGGGTCAAAATGGCGATGCGGCAAACTCTCACTTAGGAGCTGATGTAAGTCAATAATGATTTCTTAATAAATTTGCAGCGGGTTTTTTTAACATTGGCACAGGGAATCAAAATCGAAGGTGACGGTGGTACGACTCCAGCGAAGAACCTCGATACCGAGATGATAGATGACTCAAATCCGGCTTCGGATGACGATGACGGGGATGAAGGCGACCAAGGTGATGATGACGATGATTCCGTTGATATCCACAATTCTCCATCGAGACCACAAAGAGACTCTTCCCAAGACCATAACATTTCGACTACGCAAGAAATTCCAAAATCGAGTAGCGTTGATGTCATGATGGGTGGCACTGATATTCCCGGACCTACGAAATTGGAACTAGAAAGAGTAAAGGATGAAGGGAAATTCGGTAGTCCCTTGAAGCAAATAGCATTGACTACATCTACAGTCAACACCCCTACGGTGTCCCCCACCGAAACTACTGCGCGGGAGCCCATGTCATTTTCGACCGAGAATACTCATATTCCATTAGCTCCCGTTGAAATAATCAACCAGGAAATGCTATCAATAGCGGAAGTCTCCGCCCCAACCGAGCTACCCCCTGTTCCGCCTCACCCCACTAAAGAGCATGAGGAGGTATCCGTGGAACTCCGCGCTGAAGAGGAGGAGGAGGAAGAGATGCTGCTTGATATTCTCGAAAATACAGGAAATCCCCAGATCGGTGCGGCAAACCCAATAGAGGCCGAAGTTCCAAGTCTTAGTCCCGCCGTTCAGGCTTCAATTCAGTCTCCCGTCAAACCTTCACCTATAGCGGAAGATAAAACCCCTCAAAATCTTGCAGAGCCTTCTCCAACACCTGTCGTTGAAGAACCACCTTCGGTACCTAACCAAGCCACAGCTCCAATCGAAGAAGCAGAGCAGCCAATAGCAACACTTTCATCCACCTCTCCAGTCAGGGAAATAGAGCAGCCAGTAGCAGTAACTTCCTTCGCTTCTCCAGCCGAAGAAGAGGCTCAGCCAGTCGCCTCAAGTTCACCGCCTCTTGCAGCGCCAGAAGCTACTGATCTCGCCGAGGTCGTCGTAGAACCAACTGAGGTTTTCCCACCAAATGAGGAAACTAAACAAGCTGAACCAATTGAACAAAACGAGCCACTTGAGCCAATTGAGCCAAATGCATCAACTGAGCCAAAAGAGTCAGTTAAGCCAGACGTGGTACATGAGTTGAATGACATAGACATGATAGACGAGTCAAATAAGCCAGACGTGGCACATGAATCAAATGACATAGAAATGACAAACGAGTCAAACGAGTCAAATGAATCAAATGAGCCACAAGGGGCAGAGGATTCAAAACTACCAGCAGAACCAGTCAAGTCCACAGACGAAGAAGAAGATGAGGATGATTTTCCGGATTTATTAGGTGGTCTAGAGAGGAATCTCTATGGTAGCTCGCAGCCGCCTGCCACCTCTCTAACATCAGCGGTACCATCAGCATCAATCGCATCAGAATCTATAGAGCCCATAGAGCCTACAGAACCCGCAAAGCCCACAGAGCCCACAGAACCTATAGAGGAGAATATCCCATTACCCAAGGAGGTAGAGAGTGATACCGAAACGGAAGAGAAGGAGAAGGATGTAGAGGTCAAAGAAGAAACTTCAACATCTTGAAAGGGCTATATTTATGTATACGCACGGGCATTATGGACATGTTTATCATTCACATACTTATTTGGGCTACAATAGACCCGGATAATACAACTACATTGCGTTTTCTAGTTTCTTGGAGATTATACATTGGTGTCAGAGGTGCAGGTGTAGGTGCTTTGTTATTCAGAGCTTTGGCTTGGAGGATTGATTCACAATATGGTTTTCGGGCTTGGGGATTGTATATATAGATCGCTGCAACGTTATCAATCTTTTCTTCTTTTTCTTTTACGCGCAATTGTGAGGTGTGTTGATGTGAATTTATTAATTTGTCGCTTTTATCTTGTCTGTCTTTGTTGAATGGAATGGAATGAAATATATCGAATATATTGAATATATGGAATTTTGTAATTTTTTTCCCTGTCATTTATCTTCCTAGGCATGTGTGCAGATGATATTAGGAGAAGGAGAGGGAGAAATAGAAGGAGAAGCATCAATAATATTATTGTCAGAAATAGACAGCAAGTTATGCATTAAGAGTGATATATTGAATGTGTATATTATATATATTTATCCGAAAAGCCCAGAAATAAGAGTTTTATAATAATATACATATACCCCATATATATTGTATATATGATTTCCAATATTCTTTTTATAATAGAAATCTATTATTCAATTATACAAACTCTATATATATATATATATTTGTAAAGAGTTTTATTAATTTTTGTAATAATACCAATATTCTAGAATTTGCTTGTAATATTTATATCTCTAATAGAGTTCAATAGTCCTATAATTTAGTATTATATTATAATACAAGAATACTCTTTATCTAAAAATCTATTTTCTTTATTTATATTAGATAAAATCTAATTAATCTCAATACAAATTTATCGTAGGTCATGAGCTAGTATATGAGTATATATTATATAAGAGGGAATAGACTAATATTAGTCTATTATGGGAAGCTGGCAGACAAAAAGACCATTGTCCTCCGCAAGGAGCCCGGCTGGTTCAGTGGTAAAGTGATCGGGCCACTCTCCCATTGTTCTACGACTTAAGGCTATAGTGATGAAATCTTTGTATATATGGGTTAATCCTTATCTTTGGGATCTATATGGATTCATTCTATATATTGCCTTATAGGTTACCTTAGTGTGGATCTTATAATATAGTTTCTCTGAGTTTCGATAATTTATTGTTAACTTTAATAGAGCTTCTCTATTATAAGCTGTAAAAGCGATCGATCAAGTGCTGAGGAGGAACTAATGATTTCCCCTTTAGCTATTATTACTGTGCCTATATGCTACTCCGCTATCAAGCAGAACCATTGTTCCGGCTATTCCTTTTAAGCGGTCTAATAGCCGAACCCTCTGCTTCTCTGGAGCACTATCATATATACATCCGCTTTTTTTGAAGTAGCACATCTGTACATACCGCTTTTATCCATAAAATATAGTTTTATAACAAAAGTAATTGTATAATCAAAGTGCTTCTCTTCATAAGCAGAAGGAAGCGCTAGGAATATAAGGCCAATCAAATAGTCCTATTTGTAATTATTACACTGGCTTGTTTAGAATATATAAAAGGAATTGGGTTTACTCTATAAGGTTTTATTAGTGTATACATCAACGCCTTTCTGTATT